ACGGCCCTAGGAAAGCTGGCCTTGTCTCTTGCTGCCCACTATAGAAAGAGAGCTGGCCTCCCCATCCCTCACCAAAGGCGAGGATGAACCTACCCTGAGGACATTCATGTAGGATAGCTGACTCTGCCACTGCAGCTGAGGCTGGTGGCCACAGTGGCTCCACCTGCCTGCCTGGCTAACACCCAGGTCCACAGTAGGGCCTTGTGTTGACCCACCCTAGCATCTATCCTATCTAGCCTCCTGCTGGAGCTCATGAAGGGACTGGTCCTGTGGAATGATACCTGCAGGATTTCCAAGATTCGTAGCAGCCACAGGATACCTGGAAGAGCTCTGGTGAGGAACCAACAGCTTTCTAATTGGATGCAATTCCCCCCTCATCCAATAAGGGGGAAAGCATGCTTGGTATTGGAAACCTAACCAACTACCTGGGGATAGTGAAGTAATGGATCTTGGAAGGTAATCTACAATAAATACATAAGGAGGTATCCCAACTTGGCATTGGGGTTTTTGTTTAATAACCCACAGCTTCCAAGGGGAGCATTATCCAGCTTTACAGGGTATCTACCTATAAATGTTTTTTTAAAGTTACATATTTTATAATTAATTCAGTTATAAAATCATAGACTATAAAAGTGTTGAATATCATTAGACATCTGAGAAATGCATATAAAAACTACTTTGAGATTCCATCTTACCCCAACTAGCATAGTTATAAGTAAATCAAAGGACAAGTAATGATGAGGATGTGGGGGAAGAGACATCTGTACTCAGTGTTGGTGTGAGTGCAAAGTGCTTTGTTTAAACATCATGGAAATCAGTATGGGAAGTTTCTAATCAATATTGAAATCAAACTAGAATATGAACCAGTTTTACCACTCCTAGGCATATACCCAAAGGAATCTATATCCTACTACAGAGATCCTTGATCAATGGTCTTCATCGCTGCTCTATTCATAATAGATAGGAAAAGCAATCAGCCTCCATACCCAACAGATGATGAATGAATAATGAAAACTTGGTACATATGCATAATGCAAATTTCACAATTGAATATTATTTATCTGTAAAGAGAAACAAAATTATGAAATTTGCAGGCAAATAGATTGATGAGGAAAAACTATACTGAATATAGGCAACAAATGACAATTGATTCATGTCCTCTTTCATATGTGGATCTTAGATTACAGTCTCTATTTTTGTGTGTTCATCCTGGTGTCCTTGTACACTATAGGCCAATAGAAATAGGCCATTATGGGGATGCATAAAGGGGAGGGGGAAGTAGAATAGAGTTAATATGAAACTACAGAGTGAAAATACTGGGTTTGGATAAGTTTAAGTGGAGAGTGGCATGGAAGACAGGAAGATGGGGTGTGGAGAGGAAGGGTTAACCAAATCAAAGTTGTTGGGTTTTTTTCCTTATTTTTTGAATGTCTGAATTTTGCCTAGCCATGGAATCTAAAGATTTCCTCCTATATTTTTTCAAAACAGTATTATACTTTAGATTTTGAATTTACATCTGTTTTGGCTAGTTTGGTATCAACTTGACACCAGCAGGAGTCCTTTGGAAAGAAGAGAATCTCAGTTGAGAAAATCCCCTCCAGATTTGAGCAAGTCTGTGGTACATTTTCATGATTGATGATTTGTGCAAGGGCCAAAACAAAGTACTATGCAAAGTGCCATCCTTACACAGGTGGTCCTGGGTGTTCCCAGAAAGCAAACACCGTAAGTACAACCTAATAAAACTGTATTATGCTGCTTATGTTTTAAAGACTGGCCACTTGGTATTGAATAACCAATTGGTGGTCTTCCCTGAGGAAGACTATCTCACTCTCAGGATCCCTTAGGGTTATACGTGAGGAATTGGAGAGGCAAAAGGGAAAGGGGGATTGATATAATTATATTATATATCAAAAATAAAAGAAATAATTTTAATAAAGAAATCAGGCTGAGCAAGCCAAAAGGAAAAAGCCTGTGAGCAGCACTCCTCCATGGCCTCTGCACCAACTCCTCCATCTTGTTCCTGTGCTCTGACTGCACTCAGTGATGGGAGTGTGATGTGATATTGTAAAATAACCCTTTTTCTCCCCAAGTGGCCTTTAGTCAGCTGCATTTTATCACAACAACAGAAATCCTGACTAAAACAACATCCATGACTTCTTTAATGGAGTTTATTTTATATAATGTATGAGGATCATAAGGTGCTCACTCTCTTTCTTCAACTGAATCTTGCCCACTACAATAAAACTTCTCAAATTGCTTTATTCCAGTTACTCTACCTTTCCTTAAAAATGCTTGTGGGGACATGGAAAAAGAGGAAACCCTACTATAAAGATATTGTTGGAAATTTTCTAGTGTCATTATGAAATGCACAGATAAACTTAAAGAGAATTGATGGTTTTACTGTTTTCACTCTTCTAGTTCTAATGAATTAACACATTTCTTTCCAATTATTTGAGTATTTTTGCTTTTTTCAGCATATGAATCTTAAAAATATTGTTAGCTTCCACTGATGTAATTTCATTTTTAAAACTGTATAGTGTTGACATAATTTATACACACACACACACATATATATTTCAGTGGCTTTTCGTATTTTTGTTGCATACCCTGCCACTGTGCTAGAATGGGCATGTTGACATCCCAGACTGAGAGGGAAGACTCTGTTCTTTCAACTTGCTGTGTATGTTTGAGAATGTTAAAGGATCTGTAATCTTCCCTATATTCCCCTTTGCCTGAGTTTTAAGGACCCTCTTGAATTTTCTTATATCATTTGTTGAATACGTTCATGTGAATTTTTTCTTCCTTAGCTTCTTAGTATATTGGCTTACACTGATTTATTTTTGAATATTAAATCAGCCGTCTTTTCTCAAAATGAACTTCAAGAGTATGTGACTCTTAAATGTAGCTAAATTATCTTTGCTGATATGTTGTTAAAGAAGTTTTACTTATGTCCATGAGATTTTGATATGTGGCTTTGATTTTTCCTGCGCTACTTTGTATGATTTTGTTGGTAAAGCAGTTCTAATTTCATGAATTGCCAAGTATTTAAAATGATGCATGTAACTCTCTGAATAGCTACAAGACTGTTTATATCACCTCTTTCATATTGTAGTTTGTTATTTCAAGGGCTTGAACTATTTCATAAATGTCAAAAAATGTTTTAGTATAGGTGTCTGCAATGGTCTATTACCACCATTCAGTTGCTAATAGGATATGTGTACTTACGTCACCTCCAGTATTTCTGATATTGTTAATTTATCTTGTCTTTGGTTACCTTGCTAGAGATGTGCCAATTTTATCCATCTTTTCAAAGAACTTTTTTGACTCAATTTCTTCTTTGGTCCTTTTTATTGATTTGCACTCATATCTATTATTTTCTTCCTTCTACTTATTCTGATTTTATTATTCTGCTTTTGTCAAATCACCAAAATGAAAACAGATCATTTTAGGATATTTTTTTCTAACATATGCATACAGGGCTACTCATTTCTTTCTCGGTACCATAATAGTAGAGAATTTTGTTTTGCTTTGCTTTTTTCCCATTTTTACTCACTTCAATGCTTTATTTTCAGTTTCCTTCTAGAATCCTTCAGCCCATGAACTGTTCATCTTTAAAGTGGTACATAAAAATTGAACATATTTATAGGGTATCATTTATTGCTTCAATCAATTCATTAATTGTGTCAAGCTCAAATCAACATTATTCCTTTACTGTGAAAATGTTCAATCTTTCCTTTTGAAAATATATACATACTACTTGTTTTATCAATACCCCCATGTGTTGTGTTGTTTACAAGTCTTCTCCAAACTTTCCTATCATAATTTCCTTAATAATTTCTACTGTTACTTCACTGTTGGTTGACAGGTAACATATTTTTAGTAATGTGGCTTTAAATGTTTTGAGGTTTGTTTTATGGATGGAACCAATGGTCTAATTTGTATATACACTTTGGTGATACTTGAAAGGAATGTATATTCTTCAGTCTGAGGTTGGACTGTTTGTTATACAAATGTAGAGTAGATCTTGTTGACTGACAACATTGTTGAATTTGCCTATAGCCTTTACTTGTTCTGTTACATGCTGTTAGTTTTCCTGACAGTTCCAAAAATACCTGGGGATTTTTCTATAGTTAAGTTTCATTAGTTTTTATTTCTTGTGTTTTGCACTTTTATTAGTAGATGCATATTATTTGTATTTCTCCATGCAGACTGCCTCTTTTATTATAACATATTCAATGTCCAATATATATTAATATACACACATATATTTCCAATCTTTTATTTTCAACTTACACTAACATATATCATCATATCTGAAGTAAATTCTTTGTAGTATAGACAATGTATATGACTGACTGATGTTTCTAAATCAACACTGACAATCTACTAGTTGGCACATTTTACCTTCGTGGTTCTTGAAAACTGTTAAACACTGTTAGAATTTACGATTATTGTCTTTTCTTTTAATAGGCATTTTATTCATTTATTTTCACAACTTGAACACTGTTTCCCCTCGTTCCTCTCCTCCCAGTCCCTCCCCCCATTTTCCCTCTGCCTCCCCCATTGACTCCTCTTTCTATTCAGAGGGTAGGCCTCCCAAGGTTATCAACCAAATATGGCATATGAAGATGCAGAAGACTAGGAACACCCACTCACATTAAGGCAGGACAAGGAAACCCAGTAGGAAGATAAGGGTCTTAAAAGATGACAAAAGAGTCAGAGAAAGCCTCTGCTCCCACTGTTAGGAATCCCACAAGAAGACCAAGATACACAACTGTCATGTATATGTAGAGGGCTAGGTAGTCTCATGCAGGCTCCCTAGTTGTCGGTTCAGTCTCTGTGAGCTCCTATGAGCCAGGTTAGTTGATTCTGCAGATTTTCTTGTGGTGTCCTTTACACCTCTGGCCTCTACAAACCTTCCTCCCCCTCTTCCGCAGGACTCCCCGAGGTCCGCCTAACGTTTGGTTGTGGGTCTCTGCATCTGCTTCCATCAGTTGCTGGATGAAGCCTCTTTGGTGACGGTTGGGCTAGGCACCAATCTATAAGTATAGCAAAATATCATTAGGAATTATTTATTTATCTATCTATCTATCTATCTATCTATCTATCTATCTATCTATCTATCTATCTATCTGTCTGTCCAGTAATGTTTGATTCTCTGCTAGGTCTCTGGGGCCTGGCTCTCCAGGCAGTATTAGGCATGGGCTCCCTCTCCTGGTGTGGATCTCAGGCTGTACCTCGCATTGGTTGAATACTCCCCCAATTTCTGAGATGCTTATAGAGCACAGCTTGTAGGCAGGACAAATTATAGGTAGGTTTTGTAGCTGGGGTGGTGTCCTAATCCTTCCACTGGAAACCTTGCCTAGTTACAGGAGATGGCCAGTTCAAGCTCCATATCCCCCACTGCCAGTAGTCTAAGCTAGGGTAACCCTCATAGACTCCTGGGAATTTCTATTGCACTAGGTTTCTAGCTCATCCCCAAGATGGCCCCCAATTCCAATTGTCTCTCCCAGTACACTCTCCCTCCATCCTTTCTCTTACCTCATCCCTCCTGTTACTGTCCCCCAAACCCTCTCCTCACCCTCAATGTCTATTTTATTCCCACTTCCCAGGGAGATGGATCCAAAGGTCCCCACTTGAGCCCTCCTTGTTACTTTGCTTCTCCGGGTCTATGGATTGTAGCATGGCTATCCTTTTGTATCTGTCTTCTTCCTACATTCTTGGATTATACATATTTTTCATAATTCCAATTTATCTATAGTGAATGTACCTCTATGTATTTTAGCAGTACCTCTATGTGCTATATTTATGTAACTTAAGATTAAGCTAATGTCATTTTAGCAGATATCATAAAGTATAGAAAATTAACCTCACAACACCAGTTTATTCTCTCCACAATTTTCTTCATTATTTTTCTCCCTAATTTTATAAATACTTGCAACAGTGTTATATTTTGCTTCAACCATAAGACATAATTTAGAACATTCAAAACCTATTGTATTCATGCCAGTTTCCTGCTTACTCTGTTTCTTCCTTCCTAGCAATCTTTAAGTGTTCATTCGACTATGTTTACCACTGCTTTGTGCATCATTTTATTCTATGCATGGCTGTTTAGATCTGACAGATAGGTATCATAGCACTGCCATCTTGCTGCTATCTTCTAATTGTCTTTTTCCATGTTCTTTGTGACTTTTTTCACATAATTTTTTTTATTGAAACCTGAATGTTTTATATTGTGAGACTCTGGATTTGATTTAAACCAGTTGTTTTTGCTGGATTTCTGACACTACTCCAGCAGAGAAAATAAAGATGTCAAAAATCCTGGTTCCTCCTTAGCCTCTACTGAAATCCAAAGAAAGGGTAATCCTCAATAGTGCTGGTTAGGAGTAAGAATTATAGCTCTTGGGCTGCTGAGATGTCCTGAGAATAAAGGCACTTGCCACCAAACCTTACAACCCCCATTCAATCACTGGGATCCATGTGGAGAAAGGAAAGAACCAACTATCACAAGCTGACTTCCATAAACACGCTATGGCACGTGTACACCCATATATGCACATATACAAAGATATACAAAGTAATGTTCTAAATGTAAAAACACCCCCACCACAAAAAAGCCACAGAACTTCTTCCAGCCCTTTATAAATATCTACCACACTGGCTAGAGAATCAGTAGGTTATGAATAGTCCATGAGTACGTAACATTCACTAACACCTAAAAGGGAGGTGGGGTTGCCTCATCACTGCTGCTTGATGGTGGAAACTATATCTTCTTTAACATTAGCCAAACACTGGGTGTGAGGTTGCCTCATTGATGCAAGATTTAAATGTTAATATAGACTTCCATCTCCCATTGTGGACCACATGGATAGTGAAATATCATTACAGATTAACAGGACATGAAAGTCTGGTCTCTCCATTCCACCTGTACTGAAAATCATCATGATAGGGATTTTGTAGTGTCTCACAGGAGAAAATCCAGACTTCCTACATGACTCTCGGTGGCATAAGGATGGACTGGCATTTATCTCTGTGGTCATCAGCTGTAGCACAGCTCTTAATGTCAAAGGCTTTCTATTCTATGAACTCCCCTTTTCCTGATACTTTGATGATACAAAGTAGGCTTTTGTTGAGATATTTGGAGTCTACCTGATATCATCTCCAATGTATTTAAAATATCTTAACTAATGATTTTCTTTGTTCTGTCAGTATAAAACTTCATCAATCTGTTACCACTCTGGAACAGATATGGGCTAACCTCAGTTTGTGCTTCCAGGCCATGGTCACTATTTTCCTTCAAAATAAAATATCCTTTATCCCATTTAATATGGGAATTGTTTTTCATAGGTTCTTGACTGTCCTTTTCCACATTTAGTTTTGCAGAAGACTCAGATGCTTCATTTAAATGACATATCATTGTCATCCCCTTACAAAGCTGAATGAGAAGAAACATTAATTTTCTGGTTTATGTTTTGTATTTCCAGAAAGATTAATTCTTCTCTGGCATGACTATTTTAATCCATTATCAATCTGCTGATGTTAATGAAAAGTCAACTACCAATTAAGACTTTTTCATCTAAAAATTATATTTGTAATACCTCTTAGGATCTGTATTGCAATTTTATGATTTTTTTCTCTCAGCTTACTTTGAATAACTGAGTAAACAAACTGAACATCTTGGGGAGGGAGTACTAGAGCACTGTCTTTTATGCATTCTTTGTTAAAGATATTAACATTAGAACATAAAAGATCTGACACAGTATCTTAGAGTTTCAAATGCTTTGACATAGCATGCCCAAAAGCAACTTGGGGGAGAAAGGGATTTATTTCACTGTATAGTTTGTCATCTATCAACCAGGGAAGACATGGAAGGAACTAAGGACAGAAACTTGGAAGCAGGAATTGGAGTAAGACTGAATTTCTGTCTTTGTTAGTGTTTCTTTCACTGTAAAAAGCTTGTACACCACAGGCTATCATTGAAGAAAATCATGGCAGGAAATGAAGAAAGGAACCCAAGAGCAGGAACTGTTATCAAGGCTACGGAGGAATGCTGCTTATTATTGGCTTGCTTCCTGTGGCTTTCTAGGCCTACTTTCTTATACCACCCATAGCCGCTTGTCCAGGAGTGTCACTGTCCACAGTATTCTGGACTCTCTCACAACATCAATCAAGCAAATGAATCACAACTTGCCACAGGTCAGCATTGTGGGGCAATTTCTCAACTGAGGTTTCTTCTAAAAGGTCTCTAACTTGTGTCAAATTGACATAAAACTAGCCAACACAAATGGACCTACTGAATGCTATCTGAACTTAATTTCAGTTACCAAATCTACAATAACACACAGAAGAACCATTGCCTGAAAGCATCATGGAATTTTGTGGGAAGAAGATATTAGGTTAAGATTCCTTTAAATGAAATTTGGAACAACGATATGAAAAAAGCATGAAAAAATTAAATAAAATAAAAGGTACCACAGGTAAATTCAATGTCATTTTAAGGAAAAGATTGTTAGGTCTACAACAATATTTACAGATGCGTTAAAATTTACATAATTTATAGGTTATAAAATCTATGTACTTACATGACACTGATCCTATCTATATTAATTATACTTATGAAACAAAGGACACTATATAGAACCAAAAGTTTATATTATATTCAAACCCAATCTAATTAAATGTGATCAAAATACATTTGTGCTTAGCCTTATACAACTTTGAATAGTCTTGAGAATCAATTGGAACACAATTCTTTGTGTGATCCTCTCTATAAAATTAAAAGCCGGTAATCAAGGTTTCACTGAATATCAATCATAACAAAACTCAGCTCACAAGAGAGTCTATGCATTGGCAGGTTCATATACCTATATAATAAAAAAGCTAGTGGCATTCCTATTATTAAATATGTGGATGACAAAGCTAATTCATAAACAATGTTATAATATACTACAGCATAGCCAACCTAACTAAAGGCATTTGTGTTGGATTCCTGAGATTACATGGAGATATAAAGAAGTAGTACAACCTTGACAGAGAATGTCACCTCTTTATGAAGATGTCAAATGTGAAGTCTCCTTTCATTAAAAACTGTGCTCCTAAAAACTCATTACTTGTCCAGGTGAAAATTTCACCTTTCAAGAGACAGAAACACAAGAAATTTGACACTCTAAATTAAACTTTGATCACCAGGGGAAAACTAGTCAGTCACATGAAAGTAGTACAAACTTTGAGAAACAGGTTTCATATCATGTTGACATTTGTGATATTGAATGAAGAAAACACTGGGATACAGTCATGCACATATTTTAGATGTAGTGAGTTATCTTAGAAAAATTCACAGATAATTTTGTCAAAATAAACTCTGAAAGAATAAAATGCAATAAATACTATACAGGAGTCATCTAAAATAATCCAAAATTAAAAAGAATAACTGAAGGGGAGATTCTAATCAACTTATGTATATAAACAAAATAGTATGCTCAAAAACTAAAGAAAATAAACATTACATTTTTAGCTGTGGGCCTAATTTGAGTTTCATACTTATAATGAATTCAACTTTTTAATCCCTTACTTCCTTCTTTCATCGTTCTCACTTTCATGCTGAAATGCAATAGAGATTTTGTTTAGCCAAGTTAGGCTAAAGTAGATTTTATTTTTAACATGCTTATTAGAAAGGGCTGGAAGATGAGGAGCACTGTGGAAGGCTGACCTCTGGACATGATATAGCTGTTACACACGTGAACTCACAGAAGCTGTGGTTACTCACATAAGACCTTCACAAAATCAAGAGCTACAAATTTCAACATGGAATACATGTGTGTGGGGGTCCTTGGGGCCCACCCCCTACTTCAAGAGTTATTGACAATTGATGGCTTCTAAGAAGTGTCCTTTTTCTTTGGTGGGGGGAAGTAACTGGTAAGTTTCTCATGCCCCAGTGGGTGACCCCACACATGTGCTTACATCACTAATTAGACTTAGTGGATTATTTTTTAAGTCATGAAGTTTGGAGCAAGATGTGAAATATGTTGGGGTGGTGCTG